AACTTTTTAAGTCCGCCCGGCACTGATGAGTACCTGACTCACGTTTGGGGGAAAAGACGACTGGACATAGTGCTGGCTACACTGCCACTTCATGTGCTGATGTCACAGATTAAGGCGAACTCTATTTCATCTGACTCATTAACCGCCAGGTTTATGAGGTACCTTTACCTTCAGAGTTCCTTCAAGGCATCTCTTCGGGGGGACGAAGCCCCCCGAAAAAATTTTACCGCCCCCCCCCCCCAAACCAAATAAAATTTATATAATTTATATAGAAAATATATACTTTTAACAGTGTCCGCCCCCCCCCCCCCCCTCCGAAGAAAGTCTACCGCCCCCCCCCCCCCGAAAATTTCAAGTGCCCCCCCCCCCCCGGAGAAAAAAGTCTGGAAGAAACACTGTTTACCTTTTTAAAAATAAACATAACAAACACTTGGTCAATCAGAATTATATTGCCTTGAGTACAGCTGCTGACCATTAACGTCGTTAGCATTGTGTAGCGAGTTCACGTGTACGTTTAGTACGTATGCAATTTTACCTGATCAAAGTCTGGTTCTTATACAAACGCCGGCAGTAAAATCTCTCGTCGGGTGGGGTGGGGGGGGGGGGGCACTCGGACTTAGTGAAGATTTCTCACGAGAGGAGAGAAGGTTCTGAAAGTGTGATGACACGCTTCTCTGCATTTTAAAAAAGAATTTTGGGGAGGGGGGGTGGCGCTCGGACTTAGGGAAGATTTCTCACGAGATGAGAGAAGGTTCTGAAAGTGTGATGACACGATTCTCTGCATTTAAAAAAAAGAATTTTGGAAACTGAATTGTATCTATTATTTATTTATTTATTTCTCGTTTTTTAAAGATTAAAAAGTGTATGTTTTAATTGTAATAATACGTGATCAATATACTCAATATACTTTATATTAACAGAGCTCAGTAATATTTTTAGAAAGAAATCATTGTAAAAAAAAAATTAATTGCAATTTTTGGGGGGAGGAGGGGGTCGGTAGGCTGGCTTGTGAGGTTATTTTAATGGAGGGGGGGGGGGGGGGGGGCTCTGGCCTTTTGTGTCGATGAGGCTGGAGGATAATTATCTTTTTAAAAAAGTGTGACGTCGTTTATTGATCATCCCTTAGTAAGATCAAGGCTGGAGATTTGGAACAGGTTCAGAAGGGTTATGGGCCAAGTGAAGAATTTGTATAGTAATAAAATAAATTGCTTGAATACGTTGCGTCAAAGCTTTAAAGAGTAACGAAATGCACTATATTTTTGAAGTTTTCACAAAAAGTAGTTGTGAATAAGGTACCCACAGATTCCTATAGCGATAATGCCAATAACATTACTTCACCCCCCCCCCCCCTAGACTAGGCCTTAATGTTAATCCAAAACCATGACGGCGCAACGAGCTGCACGATTTGTGCGCATTGTTTGTTGGCCGACAAGAACTCACACAACACATTTCATGTGCGTCAGCACCATTTTAAAACTTCGTGTTGACGTAGTCCTACCATTAGCTTACCATTCAGCGACTTTGATGGGGAAAAAATAAACACTTTTTTCTCCTGAGGGGGGTAGGAGGGGAGATTTAAAACTTTCCGTGGGGACGGAGACATATGTTAAATTAGGACCAATATAGTTTTCTATATAAAATATATCTTTTTCGCACGGGGGATAGGTAAGTGATCGGGGGGGGGGGGGGGGGGGGTAAAGATTCCTGGAAACTCCCACCTACCCCCACCCCACCTGTATTTTCATTACACAAATAAAAAGCAATCATCGCCAGCAGTTAAAAATAAAACACCACAAAAACATGTTTTATACCGTAAACATTTATACAAATGTATGGCGGAAAAACCACAAAAAATGCGAAAAATTCTAAAGGCGCATTAATAATGGAACCAATGTCAGGGGAAAGAGCATTTTTAATTCTTTTTAAATAGGAAATTGGAAACACGACCTCCAGCCTATTCAGTGCTTTTTCAATTAACTTAAAAGATTAAGAACTCACATAAAAAGGACCTGGTGTGTCTATCAAGGCACTCGCGCCGACACAAACAACATACGTGCAACGTAGGAAAGTTAACATGTTCAGCCCGTTGTAAGCGACCCAACGATGAGCCATCACGTGCGTGCGTTAGTTAATTGCACGCCGAAAACGTACGCGTCGTTACGTAGTGGTTTTACTCAAGTAGATAGTGCGCATGGTTGAGGAGTGCCGTGGTGCATGTCAAGGCGGCAACCACGAACCGGCTGGAAAGTAATCCACCCCGGGTACAACATGGAGGCCAGACGACATACCACCCCATTCTTTGATACCTGCCAACGCCATATGGGGCGCGGAAATTAAAACTCTACCTTGACGGTTCATAAGTTCTTTCTTTTTTTTTCTCCCCCTTTTAAATAGCGCCGTCCACCTCCGCTGTGTGTGTTTCTTATCAAATTTTTAGAATAATTCACGACGTAGCCCTCGAGTTGACAACTATTTCGAATGGAAAATGGAACAAAGAAAAGTTCGTGCGGTTACGAATGTTAAATGTGTATTAATAAGATTTTTAAAAAAAAAGAAAATTATCGCGCAAGTTTAACAAGTTTTTTGACAAGCTAAGGGAGACAACCATATTATGCTGAATATTTTAAAAGGACAGAATTAACTAGCTTTGTTGAACCAGCATCTGTTGCTGTAAGGTTGGGCTGATAAGATGCGGTGGCACTTGTCGATTAGCCGTACCCACCAGTCGCGTAATTGGGAGGGAGGGGAGGCTGGTACTTGAATCATGGAAAGAAAGCTGCAACACAATACCCATCTGTATAAAACTGTATAATTTATAAGCCTGTTCAGCTTTGTTTTCTTACATTTGAAAAGCACGGATGGTAGAGCGCTGGACTGCTAACCCGACTGTCTCGGGTTGGGGTCAGTAGAACGTCCCTGGGTCCACCCAGCTGTGATGGGTACTAACTCATATTAGGGAAAGGCAGCTGGGCCTCGTGCTGACCACACGATCTCTTTAAATCCCGAGGTCACAGAAACAGGTGAACTCTACTTCACCTGCCCCATAGACCGTCAGGTTTGAAAGGAAACCTTAGTTACACTTACAGATACCATCATCAACCAACCCCCTCCTATTTTCCTACACAACCCTGCTTACAATTACATGGAAGCTTTTTGTTATTGTTGGAATGTTATGTGCTGATGACCGTATGTACTGTATGACGCATCTGTGTGTTAGCAACCCACCTCAACAGTCTGAAGGATCACATCTTTGTCTAGATTTAGTAGAAACCCAAAAAAATACTGCAATAATATTAGAAATGTGTTTATCTTATAGTTACATTATTTTAAAAGCTTGTACTATTGAAATTTATAAAGGATAATAAATATTATTCACTTACACAATTTTTATTTACAAAATATATTTCATCAATGTGCAGCTTGTCATTTAGCTGACCTATGCATTTGTGTATTTATTTCATCTAAGAATTTAGTTGTAACAATGTGGTAAAACATTTACAATGCAATTGCACATCCAAACAACACATTTTTGAACAACTATCTTTATTTACTCATACATTTAGGTAAACAGTCCCGATGGCATCAAACAATCCAATGAGGATAATGTTTAATACAAAGAATGACTCAATTTGTCAACTACCAACTTAATCATATTTCTCTAATTGTATATCTCGTCTTAAATTTTTCATTATTGCATTTTTTCTATAATTTAAAAGGTTTTTATGTTCAATTATTGTTTGCACAACTGAATTCCTTAAAGTCTTGAGTTCAGATACTGAAGTCACTAAAAATGTCCATGAAGTTGACCAGCTCTAGTGGCTACTGACAAGTGGTATCTGTATAGCATTAGGAAAAGGCAGATGGGCATATTATGAGGTCACACAAACAGATCAACTCTACTTCATCTGCCTAATGTACTGCTAGTTCTGAGGGGGGGAATATCTATTTTTATGTGTTTTATGTGCATTTTAATATTAACCTTGCTACTTACAGCCAATATGAAAGAAGGCCTACTAATGTTATAAATTACAAATTTCATTCAATTTCACCCTAGATTTACAATGGTTCTTAGCCTCTCATTTTTTTGTATTATAGACTGTTAGAGCCTTAAAACTGCATAACCCAACCCCACATTTATAAGTTACGGAACCTAACTCTTGATCTAATATAAGCCAGCACTACAATTTACAAATGGGAGGTGCTGAACTGCAAAATGGCCTGTTCTGTGAGGATCATTTCCAATTTGGAATTACAAAAAGAAACAATGTGAAAATGGTTAAGCTTTTTAAAGATTTAGGTCAAGCACAGAGCTTGACATCATATCTGAAAATCAACAAATTTCTGTTTGGCATCTCATTCCACCCCCCCCCCCCCCCCCTCCAGAAAAAATGTCTGAATAAAACATTGCTCTCAACTTTTTGACCATTGTCAATTTATCTTAAATTAAGCATTAAAATTATTTTTCAGTTTCTAAATTATCCTCAAGCTAAAATCTATTTTCAAATTACAAACAATACCACAAGCGTTCAAACATATATATAATTAAAATGAAACAGAGAACACTAAACCTTGGAGGAGTTGGAAGTTCAATAAACTATTGCTATGTTAGGTTCTCTCTGAATTTATTGTTAATCCTCCCTCTACCAGTTTCAACATATTTGTTTTCTCTGTAAAATGAAATTTAAAAAAAAAAATAACAGAAGTTAAATATTTTAATAAGAGGCGAAAAATTCTTAAAGCAAAAATACATTTCAAATACCAGTAATAATATATACTTTGAGTGCAAAAAAAACCAAAAAACCTAAGAAATAAACAGTATAGTCAAACTATACGGCAGTAGATATATACAATCACATAAAAATTAATAACTTTTCAGAATTAAAATTTGTAACATAATTCTGATATAAAGAAATAAACAAAAATGCTTCACAAATAGATAGTACAGCCAACCACCATTTCCATACAAGTATTACAATTCAAATAAGATGAAAATATTTACAAATTTTTCAAACATTTTATTCATGTTTTAAATATGTCAATTCTACATTTGTAATTTAAACAGGATTAAAACATTTTTTTATTCATATTCACAAAAAACCTTTATTACATGGTCTAATAAAGATGTATGACTAAAAATTTAGAAAACTTGAGAATTTTTCATACCTATACATTTTACAGAATCTTTGAAAAAATATACTAATAGCTTACTTGTAATTTAATTTAGATAACTTAAAATGACTAATAGTTTAAATACAAATCGAAGTAATTTAAATTAACATAATTGTCTTTAGATTATTTTAGAAATATAAATAATGTTAAAAATGCTCAATGACATCAAACTGAACTAATAAAAAATGTTAGGTTCAGGAATTATCAAACACTCGGGGCACGCAGTTCACTATAGCCACCAATTCAGTCATTTCAAGCACTCATTATACAAGTACCAATCTACTTCCTTCCCTTCTTCTTCTGTCCCTTTGACTGTTGCTGCTGTTGTTGTTGTTGTTGTGACTGGCTGGCTGACTGTGACTGTTGTCTAGTCTTTAACTTAGGTATAGTCTCTGCTATATGCAACATCACAGACATCCCTGAAAGGTTATTCAACAATATCGGTGTAAAAAATAATTATAAAATATTAATTGACTGAATAGTCAGCCGGATGGTTTTCTGGCTATTATCCATTCCTTAACCATTCCACTAAGTCTAAGCAAGAATGAAAAAGATTTAATTTTAAAGAAAATGTCAACGAAAAACTTTTTACTCACGAGAAGGAAACTGTGGTAACACTAGAGAGCCATCCTCATTTTTTAACATGACCCTCACTCTGCCCCTGTACTTATTGTCACCCCTTGCATCTTGCTCTCTCGGGTAGGTTTTATTCTGATGATAGGTAAAATCATGACATTAATAGCAGCTGTGGCAGAAGCATAAAAGTTGTTTCGAATAAAATTATATAACTCTTAAATCAAATTAATTTTCTCTACTCATAATTAATAATCACAGATAACTTTCCAAATGTAGCAGTCAGTCAGGGCTAAATATTAATAATTTGTTTGACACCCCATGATAAAGGTAAAGTACTTAACTATTTTTATGAGCTTATATTTAGTTCAAAGTTTGTTGTTTTTTATGGGTTGTGGCAATTATTGTAACTCAATTTTAACACACTTTTACTGCAGCGATTTTATTTAAACTTTCCAGATACATTAATCTCTGATGACAATGCAAGAATATCTATTGTATCAACCTAATAAACAATTAGGTTAGTCATTAAAATTGAATTTAAAAAACTAAATTCAATAATAAAAGGGGAGAAAACAAGCATTATATCAATCAGTTAACCAACATAGTGAACTGTTGGTCACAAGCTAGCTTTTTTTAATAAAAGCTTTGGCTGGGTGAAATCTGTAAGAGATCTCATGAGCGACCAAAGCTTTTATTAAAGAAATCAAGTTTGTTTTATTTTCTTATGTTCAGTGCAATGAAAAAAGCTTATTATTTCAATGGTTTTCATAACTATTTTATTGTTATTCATAATTCAATGTAACAAACGTTATGTTTATAATATGATAGCAACAGCTTGTTTGTGAAAAGAAAAGTTACCTCAACGCCCAACGTAAAACCAGTTGTTGCACATACATCCCTTATTTCAGCACAGATTGGGTTTTCAACAGCCTAACAAAAAATAATACATAAAATTTAGAAAAACATTGTATATAAAACTGCTTCAAGTATGAGAATGTTTAAAATTATATTACACAAGTAGAACAGACTTTTTAAATTTCATTTTCATAAAGTGATATGTTAATTTACCTTTTTTTTCTCTATTTGGCATGTTAGTTGTTAGTTATCAATGTGGTTTATTTGCTGGATAATGAACAAACGATCTTTAACTACAAACTGTTACCAGCAGCATATTAGCCTAATTATTATACTAACCTTTGATTTAGGTATTCTTCTGCCTTCTTTTAATGTTTTCTTGCTGTTCAAATATGCAGGATATATACAAATCCATCTAGAATTATAATTATTTTATAAGTAATATTATCACTTGAAATGAAACATACTAATAGTTTTTAGAAAATATAACTTTTAATTTATCTTTATATCATGATTAATAACAACATAGAAGAGCAGTTTGATAAAGTGTCCTACTCAATGATAATCAATCATATTTTTCTTTTTAATGATCTTCATTTTACTTGCATGTACCTATTGCCACAGCCTACACTTTGTAGCATCAATATGCAGTTTCATTACAATATATTAAATAACAACAATATTATATTGTTGTTATATGTTGCCATATACATACTGTGACTACTTTCAAATGAGTAGTTACTAATGTTTTAAAAGTCAAAATATCCAAAAACTCGACTTTATTAATAATATTTAGGCCGATTCTAGCCGGAATAAGATACGCATGCGCAATGGAGAGAAACTATGACTTGCCTTAGCGGCGATGTTTTCGATGGTACTGCGCATGCGTGTGTTTACAACCGCAGAACCCTAACACCAACCCTAATCCTATCCTTAACCCTATCCCTAACCCTATCACTAATCCTATTCCTAACCCTTACCCTAGCCCTAATCCTATCCCTAACCCTAGCCCTATCCCTACCCCTAACCCTCATTCTAGCCGTAACCCTAGCCATAGGTCACTGCGCATGCGCAGAGCTATCTTTTGCCGACTAAGTGGAGACGTTGGGGAGAAAAATCTTCTTCCGAGTAGACACTTCGTAATATTTATTTAGGCCTAGATTTACTAATTGTTGCTATTTTTCTGTCAATTAAACTTTAAATTAAGTTAAAACATTAATTTAATTCACTTGACTTTATTTTTATTTCAACGGTCAAATAAGCTATGGTTTACAGTTACACTATTGTCTTAGTCTACACTTTTTTTTTATCTTCAGTAGGCCTAACAATTGTTACCAAAACTCAACAAACATTACCAGATAATTTCTTACGCTATATCGTGAGATTATCTAGATCTGGATCTCTAGATCTAGAATATCTAGTATTTTCAACCATTTTTGGCCTACTGGACTCGAGTTAACCGAGTTGGTGTACTGTAGAGTGTACTGTAGTACTGTAGTCTTTTCTGTTACTGACTGACAGTTCAGTGATTGAGTGAGAATTCTCGATTTTAGAACAGATGTTTCGTATAAAACTAATGTAAGTGTGATATAGATCTTTCAATGGCATATTTTAATAAATGTGACGGTTAACTGCATTTGGATAAATCAAGTTTAATTACCTTTCTCGGTCATTGTGTTTAAAATCTGGATTCCATGGTCGGGCCTGGGAAGGAGCGTTTGGAGATGCTGTGGCAGCTGCCATTTTTAATTTTAACAGGAAGTAGTCGTGAGGCGTTGCCTCTCTGCTTTAAGAAAATAATAATAATGGCGAGAAAGTGAAAACTTTAGACCTTAAAACCCCATCGATATTTTTTTACTACTACTACCCTCTATACAATTTCAAATGCTTTTTTTTTTCAAAATCTATTAAAAGTATATATAATTAATGAAAAGTACACTCCCAGTCTGCTCCATGATAATCCTAGGTTTTGCAATATGCATTGTCAATAGTTGTCTTTTTTAAAACATGACTGCTCCTGTTGTGAGTTTGATTGTGCATCGCAATTTAAGAGATTCGGATAACAAAGTGATACCTCGTCAAATGAACACAATATTGTTCAACACCTAAGCCCACGTCCTCACTGACAAGTCTCTTTGTCTTTCCCACAATTTCAATGCCGTCACGGGTCTGCGATACCTAAACTAGTAAACTACATGTCAAACCCAGTTAGCGACTAGGCAGGAGCTATCTCCCCCCCTCCCCATAAAATGGGGTTGAAATTAGGCTGGAAGGGGGTATACGTGGTTAAGTGTTGTAAGATAATGTAGGGCTGGGCTGCTAAGGTGGACCACTATTATTTGCAAAGTTTTAGTCCTGTACCTGTCGGCGAAATGCTGTCCTGTACCTGTCGTCGAGACGCTGTCCGGTCAAGTCGTTGTATGTCTGATGACTGAAGTGTTCATGAGTACTGGCGGGGCAAATGTGTAGAGGGATTATATTGTAAACCGGTGTAATGTATACTAAATTTAAATAAATGTTTGAACTGTTTGTTAATAAGTGTTATTCAAGTTTTATTTGTAGTTTAGTACTAGTGTTGTTTAAACACATCAGACAGATTCTGAAATTTAGGTGGCAGTGGCAGGACAAAGTGCATAACAGACATGTTGATAAGGACAAGTCAGGAGCCCATGACAGTAAAAATAAGAAGGAGGAAGTGGTGCTGTGGGGTAGCCTACACATTGCGAAAGGCACATGCAAATGTGACACGCCAGGCAGTTGAGTGGAACCCCCAGGGAAGGGGAAAGAGAGGGCGCCCAAGAAAGACTTGGGGGCGGAATCTTCTAGAAGATGGATAATGTCTTGAGAGATTGCAAAATTCACAGCCGGTGACCGGACGAAGCGGAAGGTTATGGTTGAGGCCATATGCTACACAAAGAGGAAAGCCAAGTAAGTCAAGTCGCTAGTGCTGTTAACGTGTATAGACCTAATTGGTTTGCTAAGGTTTTTTAAACCTTGTCCCCACGAGAATGCGCGGATGCAGTGTTTCTTCCAGACTTTTTTCTCCAGGGGGGGCACTTGAAATCTTCGGGGTGGGCGGTAAACTTTCTTCGGGGGGGGGGGGGCGGACACTGTTAAAAGTATATATTTTCTATATAAATTATATAAATTTCATTTCGTTCGGGGGGGGGGGGGGGGGCGGTAAAAAATTTTCGGGGGGGTTTCGCCCCCCCCCCCCCCCCCCCCCCCCCCCCCGAAGAGATGCCTGGAAGAAACTCTGCGCGGATGTATGAATACTATAACCTTGCTCTCCCCTAGCACAAGAGCGTTTTAAGTATGTAAAATTGTCTTTATGACATTATATATATATATATATATATATATATATATATATATATATATATATATATATATATATATATATAGGCCTATATATAATTTGAAACGTTAATTTATTTTCCTTCTATGACTCAATTGGAGGGGGTTCTAGCCCCCCCCCCCCCCCCCCCCCGACACACCCTGCCATTTTTGTATGTGTATGTACAAGTATATTTATGAAATGATGTTGAATTATAAAATAAAATACCAATTGCCTTAGCCGCAGTGATAAACAAAGACAAATGCGCTGGTTTAAAATATTCAGGCTTAGAATCATAATCAACTGATCGGAACAAGATAGAAGTAGACCTCGTGACGTATAGGCCCTACTGAACGTTGATTCGTTGAATTTGCCAGACTTGTCAAACACATTAGCCTTACAGGAATTTGCTGTGCATGAAGAAATATACGATATTGCGGTAATTTAAAGTATAAATATTAGTATAGATCTTGATCTAGTAATTGAGACAAGCGTCGTAAATAAATTAACGTTATACAAGGTTATCTTTAAATTAATATTGTCTAAACCAAGTTAGAATAGATTTATATTATTACTTCATGGACGCCACCCTGCGGCCATATTGGATGAACAAGCAAATGATGATAACACACACATACACCAAAGTTAAGAGCGATTTTGAAAGTTAATTATTTCCAGATTCTAGCAGAGTGACAGATCGAGAATTCTTTATCTTAGCTTAGCATGAAAAGTGGGCATAGGATAGGCCTCTAGATCTATACTTAACACTGGCCTACAGAAATACTCTAAAATAAAATACAGTCCGGGGTCATTTTTATAGTACCAGTGTCTGACAATTGAATCTTCTTTAAAAGAAAGGGGTGTTAGGTTACTGGTAGTTAACAAAATACACTCACATATGATGTCAATGCTGACTCCAACACCAACCCGAATTACCTAGTCCTACCATACGCCTAACCCAAATTTGTAGCCATAAAATTAGTCGAGATTACAATTCTACTAACAACCCAACACACCTGTTTTATGGAAAAGTCTATAGTCTATTATCGGACATCGGTTCTAAAATCATCAGACAGGGCTTATCTCAATATCTGGACAAGATACAAAAATTGAGTACCATGCGACTTTTAAAAATTTTATTGATAGGCCCTTAATCCATTTATATTTCCTAAAAATAAAATCAAAAGCACTTGACAATGTCTCACTAAGAAGTGTTCATAAATAAACATTTGACATACTAAAACAATGATTTTGCATAAAACATCCAAATAATAAATTGTAAGCCTAACCAGTCACTAGCAGCAGAAAGCAGGTGTATGAGTGTTCTATGTCCACACTCCTGGACTTAACTTGGAAAATCTAGATCTAGAAAGATATCTAGCTTTGTAGACAAATGCTATCTGTAGTACTGTAACACTCATTTTTGAGCAACTTGTTAATTATATAGGCTAGGCTATATAATAAAGGGCAGATATTTTCATTAGATTGCAAGGTTACTAAGAGAGTCTTAGATCAAATAGGCCTACTTTTCTTAAAAATAGGAAAAAAAAAACCAATCCCCCCTCAAAAGTTTTTAAAAATCTAAAGAGGCTTAACAACTTATTTTTAATTAAAAAACAATAAGCTATTTTTAAAAGTAGTAAAAAAAACAAAGGCCTAAAAGTTATAATATACTTTTTAATGGGCTGTTTGGAATTAAAACAACTTTTACCCTTTAGTAAACTGTGTCTTTCATAAAATTTCTTAAGTACTTAAGCTACCAACATAGACCACTTGTGGAGCATAAGGATGCTACAACACATCACCTTCAGATTTGGTTTTGGGTAATTCCTCTAAGCTGGTCCTACTTCCACCTATCTGTTAATTAGCTATTTTTTTCTTTCAGAAATGGGAAGATCTTCAAGCAGATCCAAAAGTCGCAGTAGAAGTGGGAGTGGAGGTAGCAGAAGCAGAAGTGGTACACCTGATAAAAATGATCGTAAAAGAAGAAGTTATAGTCGTAGTCCTTCTGATGATGAGAACAAATGTCGAGTTCATATTGCTGACTTAGGGCTTGATCCTTCAAAATCAGAAATTTACAGAGCTTTTGAAAAATTTGGGCCTCTAAGAGAAATATGGGTTGCAAGAATCCCACCATGCTTTGCTTTTGTTGTATACAAGTATAAAGATGATGCTTGTGAAGCTGTTAGAAAAATGGATGGGGAGTGAGTATTTCTGAATAGTCTGTTTTTGTGTATTTAATTACAAAGCATTGAGTGTGTGTGTAATGAGCCGGGGACACACACACCCCCACACCCCACCCCCCCGTGAAAGCAGCCTTCTGGGACATTTCACAGACGACAGTGAAAAGATCTATCAGAACTTGTTACCTCCCCTTAGTTCCAACCCGTTTAAAAATAAAATATCTACCCCTAATAGCCTTCACGAATTCGACCGGGCTATCCAAGTGTTAACATTCAACATGAACAAAGCTCACCAGACTGGTGGGAATGTTGGTGATAGTAATATGGTCTGTTATGCAAGCCTTGAGAGTGAGTGAAGGGGGTGGGAGGAGGGTTAGATAGTCTGCTTGCATGCGTAATGTTGTCCCCCGTAGAGAATTATATATATAAATATTTTTGTATGTATGTACACTGCAACATTTAAACAATTTAAACTTAGTTTACTAAAGCGTTGCCTAGCGGGCTAGGAACAGGCTTTAATTGAGTTTCTGTTTATGGATGATTATAAATTTTGCATTATTTAAAAAATTCAGATCACTTAATGGTAAAAGAATTAGAGTTTCCATTGCCAAGCCACGCATGAAAGGAGCTCGTAGCATGCCAAGTGGTGGAGGGAGAAACCGAAGATGCTATGATTGTCTAGAATTTGGTCATCTTGCTCGAGATTGTGTTAAAGGTCGTCGTCGTAATAGGTAAGATCTTAAAATTTACTTGATGCTTATGTTTTAATAATACTTTAGACTAAGCTCTTTTGAGTAACATTATTGTTACATTTGCAAAATTCCTAATTAATTGCTTAGATATTTTGTATACTGTTTAGAAATTGACAAATATTTTAAACAAAATTATGATACTTATTTTTAAATATTTAGTTGGGATACAGAGCAAAATAGTTTAGAATATTAAACTTTAATTACTATTTTTTAAAAATTATTAATGTGATCAGTTTATTAATAATTCAGTCAGAATGCTAATTTTATTTGCATTAAATTGTAAAAATTTAATGCATGTCTTTTTTAAGTTCTTATTTGTTTGCGTTACTATTTAAAGTTTCGACTAGGTCGAAATTAATAAGATAATCTCTTTTACTTTTTCTTCTTGTAGCCTATCTAACTGTTGTAATACACAATTTTTTAAAAATATTTCATGAATCAAAAGGTTTAAGCAATTTTTAAAGTTTTATTAAAAATGATAAAAACATGTTTTTAAAATAGTGTTAAATATTTTTAACAGTCTTTTAAATTCTGGGGCTTTAGGTAATGAGAATTTAATTTTGGTTAGGGCAATAAACTTATTTTATTAAATATTTTCAAGCTAAATTAGTATCATAATTTTTTAGTGAAATATTTCAAATATAAACGAATTTCATTTAAATGAAAGTGCATGCTTTGTTTTTCTATAATTTGCTTTTGGCTAATTTATTGTGCAACTATAGTTAAAGATAAAACATTTCTTTTCCTGGTTGCTCTTATTTTTGTGCAGGCTGTGTTTGGGTTGTGTTGGTATTTGCTTCACCGTCTGAGGGTTGAAGTGATGGTGATGATGATCATAATCATGAAGTGTATTGGATGATAAAAGATAGATCCTGTATGATGGTTGTGGGGTTGATTACAGAGATGGTTGATACCAGGTTACTGCCTTTGTGACTAGGGCCAACCAGAATTATGTGATTGGCTATTGTGGTTTTGATCTTCTTTGGCGGAAGCTTGTGATTGGCCAGTGGCCTTAGTGATTCAGCAATGAGTGCGCTTGTGCAGGCGCAGCTAGGGACTGACTTTGTGTGTGTGTATTGTTGTTGGCCTATATGAAGAGGAACTAAGGGTATAATTTGTAAGGATTAGTTATTTATATGTAATCTGTCTGTGTTTATTATCCCTTGGTGATAATGTAGACAGTAGCTAATCTAAAAATTAAAAACAATTATTTTACTTAACTGTTAAAGTTTTGAACTTTATAATATACAGTTTAAAGGCTCATTAAAGTTACATCATACTTTTCAGTCCTATGTAAAATGTTTTTAAAGTTAACATTATCCTTAGGTGTTTCTTATAAATGTGAATGATTTATTCTACCTCAGATCACGTTCTAGATCAAGAGACCGCTTTGATAGGCGTAGATCAAGGTCCAGATCTCGCAGTGGCAGTCGTTCCCGCAGAAACAGAAGCCGCAGCCGTCAGCGAGATAGGAGTGGGAGTCGAGATAGGAAAAGAGATAGAAGAAGTTCTAGTAGGGGTAGGGATAGAGGAACACGAAACAGAAGCAGAGATAGAACTGATACTAGAGATCGTAGAGACAGGAGTAATAGTCGGGATAGGGAAAGAGAAGATAAAAAAGATAGAAGTGCAGACAAAAACATATCTGAAGATAGAATAAAAAATGAAACAGACTCTAAAAGAAGTGAAGATAATGATAGAAGTAGTAGGGAAAAGCGAAGCCAGAGTGAAGAAAGGTCTAGAAAAAGTGCTAGCCCTGACAAAAAAAGCGTTAGTCCTAAAAGAGAGCATGCTAGCCCTGATAGAAAAAGTATCACTCCTGACAAAAAAAGTGTCAGTCCTGGCAGAAAAAGTATCAGTCCAAGCAGAAGAAGTGTCAGTCCAAGCAGAAGTGTCAGTCCAAGCAGAAGAAGTGTCAGTCCAAGCAAAAGTGTCAGTCCAAGCAGAAGTGTCAGTCCAAGCAAAAGAAGTGTCAGTCCCAACAGAAGAAGTGTCAGTCCTGACAGGAAAAGTGTCAGTCCTGACAGGAAAAGAGCAGAAAGAAGTGAGAGTGAAGATATTTCTGAACCACCCAGTCGTAAAAGAAAAAGTAGTGAAAGTGATCATGATCGTAGCAGAAGTGCCAGTCCCTCATCTCCTAAACAAAGAGCCTATGAAGAAGATGATGATCAAAGGTTTGACACTTTATAATTTATATACTAATAAGGGACACTGGCGCTTCTGTTAGTATTTATGTATCTGTGCTATTTTAATACATCTCCAAAGTATGTTACATTGATAAGTATTAATTAGGTATGAAAAAAATGGCCTAGTAATGGGGATATGATTACTAAATTTTAGTTAAAGAAATGAATTTTAGTTATTCATGCATGCAAGTCAAATATGATTTTTATAACAAACTTAACAATGTAGATTTAAAACTTAACTCTAAACTGCATTGAGATGCTTCATATTTGATGAGATACTCATTTATAGTTTCAACTAAGGTATAACATCCATTTTCAATAGGATACATTAGACAAATCTAATGCAAGGTTTATTAATCTGCTCAGCACACTGGAAATAGCTCACCTCAAAATGTTGAAAAATGGGTAGGCAAAACAGGAGAGAGGATTGGGTTTGTAATATACCGTGGTAGTGGTATAATGAATAGTTTATTAGCAAGAAACTGTCTGGAAAAATATTGAAGTTTGATATTAAGAGAAGTAATCTTGGGTACCAACTAAATAGGGACTGCTGTATGACCCCTTATGTAGAATGAACTAGACGCAGATAAACAAGATAAATATAATAGTAATAGGGTTTGCAAATGTATGGCACTGTCTTTTTAATTTGTTTAATATCTGTAATTTGTACTTGTTATATTGCACCTTTATAGTAAAAATATTACTGATGACAGTGATGAATAAAATATCTCCACATGAAATTGTGTAATGCAAAATCAAATAATATACACGCTTATTTATTTTTTTTTCAATTATTAGCACATTTTATTAGAATAATTTCACTTTAAAATAAAAATTTACTTTCAGTTCAGATTCACTATATAAAATACATTTCTTGTATTATTTTAGAATGGAAAGTCCCAGAGACCAAGAAGATTCCAACAAAGACTATCAGGATGATGATAATTGAGAAAGTTGATTAATATTGTCCTTGTACATACTATGAATGGAAGAAATGTATGCCAGTGTGCTGTTTGTCTTTTATGTTAAAAAATATCAGATGAATCTATTGCATTGCTTGTAATATCCACATTTTAAGTTCTCATTGTTATACTTCCCAGATGTGAAAAATGTCTCTGACTGTATAGCTTAAATTTAAAAAGCAGATTTTTCCATTTGGAAAATTGTAATTTTGATAATTGTTATTCTTAGTTCAGTATTGATGCCTTTTATTTTTGTCAATGTAACTTGTCTTACATTACCTATGGCAATTTTGTTCACAAAATAAATGTAGCAATCGCTTTCTGGTCAATGATTGCATAGGTATTCTGTAATTATTCTAAGCAGTTAAAATTAAAGTGTTCATTTAAAGTATGCTTCTTGTTATAATTAATTTTTCAAATAGAGTTCGATTGAAACAGCTAAGTAAACCAAGAAATGAAAATCAAAACAATTCATGTACATTAAAATTGACCTTTAATAAAACACAACTGGGTGAAACTAATTCATAAGCAGATAAACATGATATTTACAAAATTTAAAAAACAGTAAAATCCTTTCGCTACTATCATGAAGTACTTTTTACTACAAATACAAAACTAAAACCAGGCACTTATTCAATTTAGACATTCTAAACTTCCCTGCATTAACACTTTTTTTGTAATGTAGCACCACAACAATGCAAGAAATGTTCATTTCCATATAAAGAGATGAAAAGAATCCAATATTCATTCATACAACACAGCATCAGTCCATTTGAAATACACATTTTTCTCTCAACATTCAATCCAATCACACCAGAGTTCTTACAATTATCATGACTTGGGAGAAAGAGAGAATGGGTAAGGGTTTCTTTTGTAAGGTGAAGTTCTTGAATCCTGCTGATTATATGAAACAGACCATAACTTTGGTGAAGTAGGCGATGATCTACCAGTGTAAGATGCAGAGCCTAAAAATGCACAATACAAATGTATTATTTAATAGTACTGCTGATTCAACATTACATTAGAGAAAAACAGGAGCATTTATGACAAGCACTGCATAGATTAAAATTCAAAACTACAGCTATTGTGCTTGCAAAATGTGTATGCTAAATAGTAATGCTTGTGTCTTAGAAAAACCAGTTCAACTGGTAATAAAGTAGATTTTGATTTTACAAGACCTTAATAATTACATGCTTTAAAAAGCATTTTAAAAAAATAAATCAATATATTTTGTATGTTACTATAAGTTATAAGCTTTTATTGTTATTATTTTAGCTAAAAATGTATGTTTACATTTTCAAAAAGCTTAATATAAATATTACTATGGGCCTATTTGTTTTATCTTTTAAAACTTTATGGTGGTTAGATCAAACAGAAGGTCCAAATTTAAGTTATAAGAATTTGTAGTATCATGTTCTAAATTAGTCAGGTTTGGAAACATCAGTGACAATTCACTTTATGGATAGAGTAATTGCAATACTAACTCTTGTTATACCCCATTGTATTTAAACTAACTATTAATGATTTTAATAACCAAATATTCAGAATATGATATTCCTCATCAATCAAAAGGAACTTATTGTGAAAGTTCGCTACATCAGACACTGTCCTAAATTTAGTTACATGAGTTTACCCCTAGCCCACACAACCAAATCCTGACAATGTGATTAAGAAAAAATGTTGAAGACATAAAAATGGATGATATAGTAAAAAAAAAATAACATACTGTTGAATACAGCCCAATTTTAAAGTCAATGTAATTGCTTAGTGTACATATTTAAAATAAAATAAAAAGTATAACAAAATATTTACCTAATGGTGTTGATTGCTGGATGAAAGAAGAGGAAGGCGTGGGACTCATTCCTCCTTTAGTCATAAAAACATTTGATTTATCAGATGTTTTGTAACGATGACTCACTAAAGCATTGTATCCTGTTAGTGATAAACATGGATTATAAAAGAACAGATGCCTTCAAAATAGTTCTACTAATATTATAAATGGAATTTAAATTGCGCAATGGAGCTTCTGATTTAAATTAACTTCTAATTCTATTATGAGTGACATATACATGTTTAATCATCAATTCAAAAGCCTTGTAAATAAATTGGAATTTATTTGAAAAAAAAAGAGTACTACAAAGGCATGTAACAGGTTGTAAAATATGTTACAGCTAGTTTATAGTAATTTTAAAAATTGGTGTTGCTATTCTGATTCATATCTAAAGAGCCAAATATTTTAATAATATCAAGCAGTTTAAAAAAATCTGAATGATGCTCAAAAACTCAATTCTTGTTTTATCTCTTTGGAGTTTTAACTTTTTAAAGAAGCTACTTTGACATTTATTTCTATAACTGGAAGCAAGTGTTTTAAATGCTTTATTTTTTTTCAAACATAAGAATGGAGGTGAGCGAGTTGATGGGAATCCTTCCATCATGTTGTTGACATGAAATGAAAACATGCCTTTTTAGATTTAGCAAACAAAGCGACCGAAAAAATAATAAAAAATAAAAACTTAGGCCTAATATTAATTAAGAAATTTTATACTTTTAGAATCAATGCTATAAAAAATGCAAATCCAGAGAACTTGAAAATAATTTGTTGAGTTTAAGGCTACATTTCTATTTATTTTCATTAAGCCTAAATTATAAATGGATGTTTCACTTTCAAAAGACAAATATTGATTGGCTGTACAGGAACTCTGTGATCAATAACTGTTTGTTTACAAAACTTTGCAGGTAAATTTTTTAAATAACAATGCAAATTTAAACGCCATGGACTAGTTTTTCCTTTTTTTTCGCTTACAATGTGTACAATAAAATTTATGGCAGCCAATTGAATAGCAGGATACTATTGTTTATGTCGCCATAACATGTGAAAACCAAATTGTTTTTGCTTTTTTTTATATTTTTATTTAGTTACCGAAAATGTTAAAAACATCAAATACATCCAATCATTAGTAAAGTCCGAAAAAACCAGACAGGATTTTATAACCATATTAATTGTAACTACACCGTGCATGATTTTTAAATTATTGAATGGGCCTCTCGAATACTTTCTCGCTCACGTCCATTATTTTAATTATTTTAAATTTTAAAATAGTAAAATTTGTCCACAGTAAAGTGTGAATTTGTTATTTTAGTTATTAAAAAATGCAACTTTGATGTTATTTATCTGTTAACTTACCCACTAGCACAGCACCAGCAATCAACAGAACAATTACGCAGATAATAAACCATGATTGGTAATTGCTGAAGGTGGATTTCAAAAGGTTGGACCAACTCAGTTCATGGTGGTAATGATAAAAACCTGCATTTTAAAAAGTGTTTTAATTCTATTAAAAAAACAAGTACCATAGATAAATATAACGTGATCTAAAGCAGTATAAGTATAAGAAAAAATATAGATCTAGTAGAAGGATGGAATACATACAGAAATATAGTTCATAAATATCTAATTAGGGCTAAACTGTGATATACCAATTACCAATTAAATGACAGAAATGATATTTAATTTTTAAAACACATTTGATTTAAATATATTACTAAAATAAAGTGTAATAATTTTAAAATTAACACTTATGATAAAGATTTATTCAGAAAATACACTTTTCCTTTCAACTTACCTGCCATTTCTGGTTTCTGTCCAATAAGCTTGACGTAGATAGGGATTCTAACTGTATGGCCAATGTGCTTATTAGTTATCTCAACCCACAAGTCAAACTCCTCTTTATTCCACAAAATAACTGATTCTATCAACATCACTGGAAACTGTACAACGTTGTTGGAAATCGGTTCTTTACTCTTAGCTTGCAATAGGGTGGCATCATTTACAGAAATCTTATGATTTGAAAAGCATACATGAAAATTTGTGATTATTTCATGCTTATTTTTTGAACCTTGAAAAATAATGGCACATCACATAAGTTTAATTTAAATGAGGTTTTATTCAATTGACTTCACACACAACTACATTATAACTCAAGAGCTAATATCTTATTATAATCAAAGCTAAGATGTAATTCATTCTACAATCAAACCAGATTACCTCCAAATCAGGGAGGGTTTTAGGTGATGCAGTGATCTTAAGAAAGGCCTGGGGCGATGTAGTGGAGAGATGTAGTTCATGGTTGTGTACATGAAAAGCTGGGATAAAGCTCAGAGACAAAACAGATGACAAAACATCTGGTTGTCCTTGTGTTTCAGGCACACGAACAACAAGGGTGATGTCTGACTCAAACTGTGCAATCTGGACTGCCCTATGATGTGAGGGGACTGTTGTTACCAGGCAGCCATGCAAACCTTTGAAATAAAAGAAAAAAATTTCTGTGTGTTTCACTTATTTAGTAATAACTAATTAAAACAAAAATTTTTATATAATACTTATATCTGAAATCTCATTAATCTAGCTGTAACCGTATTCAAGTTGGCATGCTCACAGACATACAGACCAAATTGCTAAAGTTTTTCCAACTCAGGGAATTGTAAAACATCAAGATTTGTGAAAATCTCAATTTCCGTTTTTTGCACGATTACAATATTTCCTCTGTACTTCATATACGAGAAAGTAAAAATATATAGGCCTACATATAAATAATTTCTTAATGGTATTAGTTAAATTAGATCATTGTTGTTTACATCTATGGTATAGGGCTGGTAAGTAGGTCACCGACCAGCTCTACAGCTCAATAAAACCTGCATGAGCCATAGAACTGGTTGGTGACCTACTTACCAGCCATATTACAATTACCATTGAAGAGCAAACTCACCCTTTTCATAATCAAAATGGGGAATAATTGTAAAGATATCAGCAATGTTTATATCTTGGCTTTTGTTGGTCAGGTCAAGATGGCAAGAGTAAGGAAGATAAGATGGGTTGAATTTGGATTTCAAAACAACAGATGTACAGTTAGAACCTGTAGACACAAAAATTGAAAGTTCATTCAATATACAGTACTGTACATAAACAAGCCATCAAATTATTTTTTTACAAAACAAAGTTGTATCAGTTTACTTGAATTTTTTGCCTAATTTAAAAGTAGGTTTCTGAAAATTTAGAATATTAGTTTTTAAAATTTGTGTTAGCTACGCCTACCTTATTTAATATTGGTTACAAAAGTAAAAAAAACTCCTTACCAACAATATTTCCCCCATTATTGAAAGTGACAGAGAAAAAAGAACTTTTTCCTCTCACTTCTGAGTTACTTAGAAAACTAAGTCCTTTATCTAATTTGATCACTTCTGAGTTACTTAGAAAACCAAGTCCTTTATCTACTTTGATTGATTTTATGGGTTCAATGTTCACCTGAAATGTAATAGTTGTTCCAGTAACGAATAAATGTTATAAACTAAATGTAAAATATATTCATCCGTAAAGGTTGCGATCATATTGAATTATTTAAATACAAGATAGGCTTACTTCTGTTTTAGTTGATATGGTTGGTGCAACAGTATAGGTAACCAATGCACGACCCACAGCTTTGGCAACACTGATCCCCAAGTTGTCTTCCATGCTAAGTGATAATGACTTCGATTGCCATGTTCCTTCTAGACCTTAAAACAAAGCATTTGAATATTAACAGCAACTTATTCAATACTGTCTAATATGTTACATTTTTGGCTCTAGCCTCAACATAGATTGGAGGTGCCGAGTAACTGATTTTGTTATGGAGGGCCTCATAAGTGGTTGTATTAATATAATATTAATTCAAGTGGTCATACTAAAATGTTTTTTTATAGTAAAGTACCTTTTCAAACCAGATATCTCACATTGGCCTGTAAATAGTTTAGCAGGCATTATGCCCAACTGTCTTTACCCAGTTCAAGTAAGATACAACTAGAGCTACTTGGACTCACTTATGTCCTACAGACTTTAGCCTATTCACATAACTTGAGACTTCTTAAGTTAGCCAGGCAGTGAAACTGGTTTAACAACAAGTTATATGAATTATAAGTCAAAGGGCCTTACCAGACTCAGTAATGAGTGGGGAGGTAAAACAAATGATGGATCCCAATGTAACTGACACCTGTGCTGGGGAGACTGCATGCCCCACAGGGATGTTTACATAATCAGCTGTAGATGGCTTGTGTTTATCCCACACCTAAAAATAGAGCATCACAATTAGGTTACCCTGATATACTACATTTCCTCTGTGTTGATAAAAATAGGAGTGAATGGATGTTGACCATTGGTACAATAAAGTGCACTGATAATTTTTTTTAGGAATCCAGCTGGTTGATAGACAATTTAAATCAAGCAAAATTGCTGCAGAAACCTATATATATATATGGTTACAGGCCCTGCCTCAATGCATATTTCTACTTCTTACAGTAACTATTAGTATTGGCCTTAACGAAAAGTTCTTTGTTCTTAATTTTAGTGTTAGAAGGGATTCCCTCAAACACAATTAAATATATGCATCAACTGGTTATGTGCCATATAGGCTGTTGACTCCAATTTCAGCCTACTTTTCTTTTTAAAGACTTGAAATTATTTCAAGCTAAGTAACAGTTTTAAATGCCTCCAAACAAAATAATTTTAGAACGTAAAGTAAATCTGTTCAATACAATTTATGGCTCTCACCTTAAGGACTGCATTACCAATCTCACTAGCCCTGACAATTAGGGTATTGTTATCAACACCATTTGATACTTGCAGTAGATCATATCTGTATAGTTACAAATTATCAATTTAATACTTGGTAAAAATATAAAACAAAGTTAATTTTTAATGTTCATCATATGTGAGAGGAAACAAAAAGAATGTGTACAAACCTGTTGCATCGAATACCCAATTGTACATTTGTGGCATAAAACTCATCCCCTACATCGTCATGATAGCTGACAGAGAACTGTAGAGTTGACCCCAAAGGCACAGCGGTCAGTTGATTGGGTAAGGCTGTAACTATGTTGCTGTCTAGGTTGATCATCAAGTAGGATACAGGTTTCACCTAGATAATACAAAGTTTACATAGGTTGTTTTTTTTTAAAACACCTCAAACTACTCACTCATAAACCAAATATATTATGTTGCTTTAAGAAAAATATCTAAATTGGATGGCCAATAAAATGAGAACAAAATTGTTTTTAACTAGATGTTTATTTTTAGCCTTTAGAAAAAAATTATTATCATCAATTTTTGGCAAGACTTATGTGTAAGTGAAGTATTTCTGTTTACTTTCCCCTTTGGTTTTTTAAAAATTAAGATTTGTACATAGCTTCTATGTAAAACAATTGTTTTAGTTTCAAAATGAAATAAAAAATGGTGTGATTTGGTCAAACAAAATGAGGCCATGTTTAATTTGGTTATGGGCTAGTAGGCTACTTTTAAAAAGAATTGGTGTTAAACTAGATTCCTTACAAAATTATTAATTCTTAACCAGGTTGTAAAAAGATAAGCGAGTAGGCCTACATATAGTGAAATTGTGATTACTAAATCCATAGATGATATCACTACCTTAATTAGAATAACAAGTGTCTGGTTTATCCCAAACTCTTCCTCAGCGACTACATGCAGCACAACACTGCCAGGTAAGGGACCAGATCTAAGTTGACCATTGTCCATTATCCTCACAACCGGAGAATTGTTATCTTGTGTGATGTAGTATTGAACTCTAGCTGCTACGTCCCTGTGAATGCAATGACATTCAAATCAACCCAATTACAACTTTTTAAAATAAAGGAAACAAAGATCTATAATTAAACCAGATGAGAAACAACAACAAAAAATGAGAATAACCTGTTAGTCTTTAGAAAAGTGTCAGTGTTGGGGGTAATTCTTATAATACCATGACAGACAGATGGGTTGAGCAATGTTAATTTTTCAAACACCTAGAGATAAGATAAATAGGATATCATCATAATACCAAAATCTTTAAAATGTTTAATAAAAATAATATGATTTTTTAAATCTTTACAAAAGGTACCTGAACTTGGACTTCATCAAACAGAGGTCCATCATCATAGAGCTGCAACCTACTTTCACGTGAAGTCTCCACCCTCAATTTAATGCTGGAATGGCCTGTTTCTCTAGCCAGAGCATGCTGGGCAAAATTATTTTCAGCAACAGGGTAGATTCCATTCTAAAGTTGTAATAAAACATTGAACTTTACAGAATGTAGCTGTTTTCAATACAGAATTAACTAGCAACAAATAAATGACAAACCAGTTGATTACATTTTTACATAACAAACCTTGTGATAAATGGACTGTAGCTGAATGACATCACGACTACTTGCTGTCCAGATAAAGATTAGTGGTGGAACAGAGTTGCCAAATGAAAATGGTGTTTCATTCTCCGTCACACCCATTGCATAGACAGGCATCTAGTTTTAATATAGTTATTGGAATGAGTAATTGTTATCTTAATTGGACTATTACATTTTAAAATCAATTTACAAAGTGGATGCAACAAAATTAATTATGTGTGACAAATAATTAAAATAAATTTTAAGTTAAAAATTAGGTCATTATATAAAAGACTATATTTTTACCTGTGTGCCGGTCTGAAGTCTGGTAAGTGGGGCATGAATTCTTATGCCCTTTAAGATTATTACATTCACGATGGCATCATCCTTAAAGTGAATATGGCATATGGATATATTATGAGAAAAAATATACACAACATTAATATAAAATAATAGTTTTTGATAAAATAGAACTTTTTTAAAAATTTACAGCTCAATACCTGTGAATAGACCACTTTTTCACCAGTCACAGAATCTGTTCCTACAGCCTTCCCTATAACTCTTGTAGTGCCAATGTCTTGGGCATCCAAAATTCCACCACTTGTTACTGTGGAAATCTTACTGTCCAGTATAGAGAATTCAACATTGCTTTGTGGCTGAGGGCCACCGTAGGCTAGGACCTATAAAAATAAAAACAAGCAGCGCTAAACACATGTTAATTTACAAAAGCAGATATAATAAAAGAATATTGTATATAGCTGTATTTTCAACCTCTCAAGCAATGCTTTACCTGTAATACAGCACCAATGATTAGTGTTATATTTTTTGGTTCCAATCGCAAAGGAGGAAAAACCTCTAAGGGCTTGGGTGTGCTATGAATAACTTGACCAGTAGGTAATTTAACATTGGCAGTCAAAGTTGTATGTCCAACAGATGCCCCATACACAGTGTAAACACCAGTTACACCATCTCCCACATCCATATGAAGAGGTCTAAAATATAGGAAAAAATGAATCAGACATTCATAACTAATTTAAAGTAACAAATACTTCAAATTCTAGGTTGGTTAAAGATGATTCACCTGAGTGTAACGATATTGGATGCTGCCTCTAGTTTTAACCCCATGAGAGGGAAAAAACTGGAAAGTAGTGGCCTCCCTTTCAGATCCAGTACTTGAACTTTGGCTAGAACTTCTTTTAACACTTCCACCTTTTGATAATAACAAACAGTAGTTTTAAAATTAAGAACTAACAACAAAGGGATGGATCTTTTGTTTCTTCTACATTGTCTAGGGAAAATTCCTATAAAAAATAAATCTTACTTTTTCAATGACCATAATGTGGACACTACCAACACCTGATACAGAAACTGTGACTGAAGGATGGGTGGCCACATCAAGGCAAAGATCATATACAGTAAGCGATTGGGATCCATCTTTCAAAGGGTTAACCTGATATAGGACAATAGTATTAAAATACATTTTGAAACTTGATACATTAAAAAAAAATTTTTGTCTTTTGAAAATATTGCTATTAAAATACCTGGATTGCTTTTCCTTTAGAATCATACTTGGCAGCTAAAACAGGGGAATGAAGACTCTCTAGATGGAAAAAACCAGAGCCATGGTGGATGTCTATATTTACCTAATGACAGGAAAAAGAACACTTGTTTATAAGCAGTATTCTTCACCTATTTAACGTATTTAATATGATGTACATTACATATCTGTAATATTTTTTTTACTTTGTTTGATGGATGATTGAACACAGAAACAGAAGAAGGGGACAAAACTGCCTCATCCACTAAAAGTAGTTCTAGAGATTTTGAGATGACTGGATTGAGTTTTTCCTGAGGAATAAGAATTTAAAAAATGATAATAGCATAATTGTACCTATTTAAATTGTTAACGGTTTTTAAGTTTAATATTATAATTGATATACATGTAGGTATTTTAACAAAAAAAAGTTTAGTGATGTGATAATAAAAGATTACAAAATCCACAGTGAATGCCTTACAGGGGTTTTGCCAACAGCCTTTGCAGTAGAAATTTTATAGCGCTCTATTGAAGCTGTGATAAAAATGCTGCCTGATTTTTTTAATGGCCTTATGGTTTGATAACCTATAAATGAAAAGAAGAAACACAGATATTACATACTACGTACAAACTACTCTCTCTACTTAAGTATTAAAATGGCTTATAAAAAATATATTACATACTCAACAAACTTTTCTTGCCATCAGGCTGAGAATCTACATGGGTCTTCAACTCCTTAGTGTACAACAGTTCTGCCAGACTGGTTGGCAATACGGTCCACTCTATGGCCAGGGATGAAATGTTGTCAAATCTACGTCCAATGGAATCTGTCACAGATACCAGAATGTCCAGGTCTTTGCCGCAGTGCACAGGCATCTATTAAATATTATACATTGTTATTTTGCTACTAGTTAAATTTATTTAAAACCAGAAAAAGACTGGGTATATTTTTTTTTTTTAAATGAGCTATCACAGTAATGTAAACTGCAAAATTATTTTAAAAACCATAAAGGAAAGCAATATTATTAGAATTATTCTGCCAAATTTGCAACAAGGCAAACAGTGTTTTAAAAGTTAAGTGAAAAAATCACCCAAGACTTACAGGTAAATGATTTTCATGCTGTACTGGACATGGTGGAAGACGAGGATTTATCTTGAGGATGGGTTGAAGATGTAGCTCCACAGGTTTAGCACAAACAAACCTGGGCAGGTAATTCAATAAAAGACATGTAGTAGTTTTAATTCATTGATGTTAACTGGCTAAAATAGATTGAGTAGCTAGGACACCAGTATATTCAACCAATAATTGTTAGGAGAGGGGGGGAGAGGTTACACATGAGGGTGCAGCACAAATACACAAACATAGTTACGATTGAATGGCAAGTGATCACATGCTCCCCAGCTAAATCACATGGCAATCCTTTTAAGTACAACAATCCTTCTAAGTATAGACCAGAATAACAAAGTATTTGATGAGTACCTGATTGCTGTTGTCTCAGTTACAGGGTAAGGATTTTTGGCAGTTTTTTCATTACCAACAGACAATTGAATTTCCTAAATAAAAATATAAAATTTATGAAAAAAATTATACATAAAATAATTTCAAGGAAACCAAATTCTATGTATCATAATTAATCAAAGATTGTACCTGTTCACTAATATCTCTGCAGAGGATCACAAAAGCATGAACTCCTCCTATGATTAAAAATGGAATAAAAAAATATAATAAGTAACTGTTCATTTATTTTCTATTGTGAGGCAGTATGTAGTCTAAAAGTTAATTCTACAACATACGGATGATTGATCCTGGGGAAAGTTTCTCTGTTTTTACTAAGTCATCCTTTTCTGCTTTCACTGAAAGAAAAATTTGTTAGGAAAATTTAGCCATCACAGTGTTGTAAACTGGAAAATTATTTTATAAACTGTTTTTGAAGATTTAAAATCTTACAATTCTGAAAAAACTTTGATGAGTCCAAGACCCATGGCTGTGGTCCACCAGTGAACAGAACTTCTTTAGAGGAACCAAGTGCCACAATTGTTTCAATCTCTGGATCAATGGCCTTAAGAAACATAAAAATTCAAATTTTCAAATTTTATATGGCAACTTTAGAAACTTTCATAGATAAATAAAAACTGGCTTTTAATTTAGATATTTTTTTTTTCAAAATGTATCAACACAGTAACATTCGTCAAAACCGAGAATGTTCAGAATGCAGAATCATCCAGCTGGTGTAATGTCTGCCACATGCAAACAACAACCATCTGGACACAACCCACAAGTTTGGTTGTTTTCAGGACCCCTGCACTTTCATCATCACAAACACTAATTTTGTCAAAATGTTGTAAACCACAGCCCCACAATTGTTTCTACATCTGGATTAATTGCCTTAGGAAACTAAAATTCACATTTAATTATTCTACTGCTGTTATTAATATATTAATGCATTGTGAATGTCATCAGCAATATAAAAAAAATTAATTTTAAATAGTGATGTCCCTGTTATATCACCCCTCTCCCTATGCATTAATTAAAATTTGAAAGCTTTGAGATTATATGTAAAACAAAAGAATGTTCAGAATGCAGAATCATCCAGCTGGTGTAATGTCTGCCACATGCAAACAGCAACCAGCAGGACACAACCCACATGTTTGGTTGTTTTCAGGACCCCTGCACTTTCATCATCACAAACACTAACTGTATCCTTAACTCAGGTAATGTGATAGTTGTATTTACAAAATAGCATTCACAAAACGTTAAAAAAAACAAAAAAAAACTATCACCTTTAAAGGATGGTAAGCAGCAATGGTAACAGAGGCTTGGAGAATTAAAGACTTTATTTGGTAAGTTACTGTGACCTCAGTGTAGCCTTGCTTCTTAGCAAGAAATGTTAGTGATGTACATCCATCTTCAGGCAGTTCAAAGGGTAACTTTTCATCTGTAATATATTTTACTATTTAATTAGTGTAAGATAAAAATATTATTTTTTTTACATAATTAATATACCAGTTTACTTATGATGAGAGAAATAAAAAATTGTTTTTTAAAAAAAATCTTTCGCGCTATTGTTTATTTTTGCTTCTTTTTATTAAACTTCAGATTAAAACATATTTATATTTATTTTTTTATGTTCTTAACAATACTTTTTGTAGACATTTGGTAAAAATAAAATTTGTTGTTGTTAAACAAGTTTAATTATACTACTTAGTAGCAATACCTACCACGAGCAACATGTTCAAATATAGAGCTATCACTATAGCTGATGGTAAGAGGAAGCTGGTGACAATCAGTGAATGAATGCAGGTTTTCTGATAAAAAGGAAACGTTTTTTACAGTTTTATTTTGGCTGAACAATTAAATCACATTAAAAACAATGCACGTAAAACAATGCATGGCACAACTAAGATATCCTTATAACTTACTGTCAATTAGGGCAAATACATTTATAGGTAGTATCAGAGTGGTGCCAACAGCTGCTTCAACACGAGAAAGAGGGAAGTTAATTTCAGCTGGAGGGAGCACATGTACCTGAGTTAAGTCAAAAACATTGGGAATAACAAATCAAATGCAAACAGCAAATCACTTTAAAGCAATAGTTTATCAAGCTGTAGATAAGACTTAATTATTACAATTATTTAAAAAACAAAGGATGGGACAATTTTACCCCCAGGTATTTGTAAAATATAGAAAAATAACTTACAGTGGATGATCCATAATAGGCAGAATTTCTAGCATCTGCAGCAGTGACATTGCATTTTCCAGGACCAACTGTTGAGATTTGTCCTTTTATATTGACAGATGTTACACTAACATCTGATGTGCTCCAGACATATTCTCCACTACCTCCTTGAGCCTTTAGGAAAATAAAACACATTTTGATCAGTGCACCAATTTGTTCAGATTTACTGATATACTAATATACATGGTATACAATTTTTTAATAGATTTTCTAAAATTAAATTTTATATATTGATGCTCATTTGGGTAAGAAAACGTTAAGTTTAGAAGATAATATTAATCTGTCTAAAAGAAGAATAACATAAATTACATACTTTTGCTGAGAACCTATGCACACACCTAGATACAGGATCCCAAGGGAAGAGGACTAACTGTGGTGTTACAGTGATAGGATCATGAATCTCAACATCTTGACTTCTCTTTACCTCTGGTCGCACAGCTTGCTCTTTACCATTCTGAAAAAAAAATAAACCACAGAATTAATGGCGCATATTGCATGTCGGAAATATTTTTAAAAACTGTGGTGTAGTTGCATAGAGGCACTTACAGAATCCAGAATCCCGACAAGAGTACCCTCAATTAATGTTTCTCCTTTCAGAAGTGCTTTGACTATGTGGTATGTCCCATTAGTGCTGGAAAACAGCACTTGAAAGTATTTGCTCTGAAATTCTGTCAGCACACGAACATTCTGAGGGAAATGCAATTTTTTGAAAATTCATCAGTAAAACCATTCTTAACTGCCTGTAAAGATTCTGTGTTAAACTGACAAAATAGTGGAGATGGTATTTACTTGCATTTTAAAAATGAATATTGCATAACAAAGAAAACAACTGCAAACACAATAAGTTAACTTAATATTAAAAATATGACGCACATCAGATGGTTGAATCTTGTGACTGTCAGTGTCATAGATTTCAACATAGATTTCATACTCTCTTCCTGTTTCTAAACTCCACTTTCTGTGAGGCAGGACAACAAAAGCTGAAAAGTTTCACAGTTGAAAAACAAAATCAAAGATGTTAATGACTTTTTCTTTCACAAATCTATCAAATAATTGGATTAAAAAGTCAAAAAACATTTATTTAAATAAATGAATATACCCAAAAATCCTGGAGCAACAACATGTATCATAGCAGAAGGTTGTCTGAAAAACTCTGTTAAAACAATGTCTTAGAATTGTAAAGGATATTAATTTTTTTTTACACATGTTAAATGGCTTATAAATGTTACTTGCAACTAATTAAATTTTATGTAATAGTAAAAATGCACCCTGAACAATTTGAACAGCATGTAAAAACTGTGTTCAGAAAAGCAGAATCCTCCTGCTGAAACAGTATTCACCACATGCAAATACAAACCAGCAGGATACAACCCACATTATTGGCTGTTTTCAGGACCCCTGCGCTTTCATCATTAACAGGTGACAAAAAGAGTTTTTGAAATGTGATTTTGCATAAAGGATACTACGGTCTTTTAACACAACTTCTGTTGATCCCATAACAAGTCCTGTAGCCATTGAGTTTTGTGCATCTAGTTTACAGATATCTTGATCTTTGATCTCCAAATAGTACTGCTTTGACGGCATTTTTATTTCTGTAATAAAAAAAAACAACAAGAAATTTCAAAGTCAAGTCTGTTAAATAGCATTAACTTGTGTGTTGCATATTTTGCCAATGTTTCCTGCTGTTATTTTTACTATTTACCACTGAGATCAGTGAAATGGGACTGCATGGTAAAGATTTTAACAGCCAACCCAAAGCCCAAATCTTGGACTCGAGTCTGTAGAAAGTCCTTGAGTCCACCATGATGAAAGAAGGGCAGTTGGGCACAATGCTGACCACATTATCCTTTCTTATGCTGGGGTCAATACTTCATCTGCCCAATTGACCATCAGGTCAATTTACTGAGATCAGTTTACTTCATAATATTTGGAATAATATACCTATTTAATATGTTATAAAACAAGCAGCATTTAAAATAGTTTATGCATTCATTCCTGATCCATTCTAAATAATAACTTGTTATGATTAATCAATTTAAATTCAAAAGAACTACAGGCCTAATTAAAGTTGAGTGTACCTTTCAATGAATTATGTCTCAGAATTTCAACTTTATATTTAACATATCCATGTGTCAATACATATGCTTCAGGAGGTGACAACATTATATTTGCAATAACCATGATCCGCACATCATGTGGTTTAACATTCTGAAATTACATAAATTTGGATTTTTTTAAAACTGCCAGGGCGTTTAAAAGCTTAATATTCAACATGCAATCGTAATTAAAAATAATTTATGAAGAGATTCTAAAACTTTTTGTTCAAACCTTGTAGGCAGGATCTTTCAGTTTGGCAGAAACCTTTGCACTCCCTGTGCGTATACCTTCAACAAGAATCATATCACCCTGCTGACCTTGTTCTTCAAGTGGTACAATGTGTCGTGGAGTGGTGTAATGGGACTCGGAAAAACGTTTAATCCTGTGGAAAATAGAATTTACAAGCTTCGTTGGATCTTGGTATCAAACCTAGAAGAATTCAATATCTCTCTTTGAAATATTTAGCCCTTAGCACAAGCTTTTATAATTGCACTGAAAGTAACTAATTTGAAAAAAAAAGACACACTTAAAACACTGTTATTGAGTATATTAATCTTCAAATTAATTAGTATTGTCTAATGTAATTAGATTTTTAAAAAAAACAGGTATTCTTGCATTGAACAAATTGAACAAAATCACTGCATTAAAAACGGGACAAAATTGAGTTACAAAATTTGCCACAAAACCACAAACATAAACCTAAGTAAAAGTTTTAAAATACTGAATCTTTATCTAAGCATACCTAAATAGGCATAAAACAATTTGCCAGCTAACCTCAAAATATTATGTGCATCAACTGCATCGTGTCCAGTTTCATTGTCAGAAATTAAGTTCCACTCAAATGACATTCCCTCCAAGTTTGAAAAAATGTTACCTGTTGATTAAAAACAATTTGAATTTTAATACTAGAGAAAAATTTAACCTTAAATTGTTATTTACATTTTGGATAAATCTTATGTTTAAACAGCTGATTATTTAGGCATTGACAATCAGAAATGATTCTACCATTATCAGATTCAGTCAAATAGTAAATTATCTTATAAGCAGATCACAGTCATATAATTGTAACAGATATTAAAAAACATGTTTTCCTTTATTGCATCATACCTTCACTGTCATAACCCCTAGCAATAAGCTCTTCTGGTGAATCTTCCAAGTATAACAATCGGGTAGTGGTCTCGATTTCAAGTCGAACAATTTCACCAACAATGACATTTGTTCTTAAAATCTCTCCAGTTACTGTATAAAAAATATTGACAGATTTCATAATTATAAGTTGTAAAAAAAAAATCTTTAAATAAAAAAAGCTTCCTAAAAAAACCTAACCCTTGACACTTAGGTTCTAGCATTTAAAGCTAGATCTAGTTGCAACAGACCTTTATTCTCAGCTAAGATAACAGTAGCCATTTGATGTGGAGTCTTAGAAATGGCAGAGACAATCGCAGTTTGAGCACAAGATCCATCAGTTGAATTTACAAGCTGTACTTGGGCTATTTCAGGACGAGTGGAACGCCTTAAAAAAATTGAATTCTGATGAACATGTTAAATTTTAAATAATATTAATCTATATTTATAATTATCTTCTTGGAGACTAAGAAAACAAGCTGTAAGCGCGCCTAGCAGTCCCCTCTCTTCCTCTCTAGGAACTCTGGTGAGCTGTGGTTCACGCTAAATGTTTACAATCGTACAGCCGGGTTTAGTGACGCCTATTAGGGGCAGATAATTTAGTTTGAAACTATTTTAAACTTCGAAGTGACTACACGGAAGAAGATTTTTCTCCCTAACGTCTCCACTTAGTCGGCAAAAGATAGCTCTGCGCATGCGCAGTGACCTATGGCTAGGGTTAGGGCTAGAATGAGGGTTAGGATTAGGGGTAGGGTTAGGGATAGGATTAGGGATAGGATTAGGGTTGGTGTAAGGGTTCTGCGGTTGTAAACACACATATGCGCAGTACCATCAAAAACATCGCCGCGAAGCAAGTCGTAGTTTCTCTCCATTGCGCATGCGTATCTTATTCCGGCTAGCATAGGCCTTTAAACTTAGGAGGGGAGGTAACTAAGTGAGGAGGCTGCTTTCACTGGGGTGGGGGGGGGGGTGTAGGGTAGGGGTTGGGGGGAAAGGAGGGTGGGAGGGTAACGTCCGGTCCTTAACGGCCTAATGATAGCGTTTTAAAGCAAATATTTCCAGTGGAAGCGTCGATACTGTCAAATTCACACATTATGAATGACTGAAAAGTAGAAAATAAAACAACTAAATAACGGCGTCTAGAGTCTAGATTAGTGTCTAGATTCTAAATCTAGACGCTATCTAAAATCTAGGAATAGAACCTAAAATCTAGATCTAGATTCTTCTAGATCTAGTTTGTGAGTTTACTCAGTTGAAATTTTAATGAAAGCAAAACAGGCTGAGACAAAACATACTTTAATATTTTTTTTAAATTTTAAACTTTCTTTTCATACCATCGATAGCAGTTAGCTGTCTGGGCTTCCTCGGGAGAGTCTTCAACTTGCAAAGTAAAGTTAGTTATGACTGAGCTATAATACGGCAATAAAACTTTAGGAGCATTTAATTTGGCACCACTGATGACAATAATATTCAGACAAAACAATAAATACACAAATGCCATTGGCGCCATTGCCGGTCTTATGGACAGCGCCATATTGAAATCATTACTCTCGTTACTAGTGTAGGATTTGATTGGATGTGTTTTAAAAATTATTCAAACATGCTGTTTGGCAGAGAAAATAACAAAACAATTATTGCGTAGTCGATAATCATTTTAGGCTCATGCCAAATTACTTAGGATAGAACTTGCATTGACAATAACGTTAGAAACTAAATTTTAGCCGTTAACTCGCGTTGGTAAAAGATTTTTTTTTTCGTAAATCGCAATGCAAATAGATTTCTAGATACATTTTGAATTTAAGACCCCAATACCGCCCCATCCCCTCACGTCCAATTCCCACGACACTGTCTGTAAAAAAAAAAAGTCTTTCTTTAACCTCTATTTTGAGAGAATAATAGATCTAGTCTCTAGACTATAAATTATGACGTCATAGGTCTAGGCTTTTGGTGACGACATAAAGGGATGACACCAGTGTACGTACTAATTATCATGATTTATTTAGACATAGATCTATATACGTTAAGATGGGTTTTTTTTTAAAATAAACAAACACACATATTTTTAAAAAGGTGTTATCCATAAATGACGTCACACTCGTAGGGGGGAGGGGGGGTCCGTTATTTTGTGACGATGTGGGATGAGGGTGGAGGGGGGGGGGGTTCAGATGTTGCGACGTCACATTTTTGCATTATAAAAAAGCAATGTTAGAAAACTAATTTTAGACGTTATTTCGCGTTTTAGATAACTGTTTTAATAAATTGTAATAGTTTAGACAAGATTTTGGGAAAATATCGATGTTTAAAAAAAATTCAACTGCAATTTTGAGGCGGGTTGTAGGTTGAGGTGTGACGTCATTTTAGGGGGGGGGTATGGCTTTTTGTGACGACGTGTGACGGAGGGGAGAGGGGGGAAGGTAAAAATCGTCCAAAAAAGCGTGACGTCATTTATGGATGACCCCAAAAAACTTTGGTCCCGCGTGAGATTTCTAACATTATTTTAGCAAAAATATGTAATAAGATCTCATGAGCTACCAAAGCTTTCACGAAAGAAAGCAGATTATTTCTATTTTATTTTTTTTCAGTGCATTTAAAAGCTTAATTGTTATTAGAAAGGTTTTTATATTTGTTTTTTCTACTTTTAAGTAACTCATAATCTGTAGGCTATCTATGACTAACTATATATATAATATATATATATATATATATATATATATATATATATATATATATATATATATATATATATATATATAGATATATCGTGCGGCGTCAATTCGGCCAATGACGAAACGGCCCCGTCAAAACGACCCCGACAAAACGACCCCGTCAAAACGACCCCGTCAAAACGACCCCGTCAAATCGGCCCCGTCAAAAGGGCCAGCGACATATGGACCCCGTCATATAGGCTCCCGACAAATAGGCTCCCGTCATTTAGGCTACCGACAAATAGGCTCCCGTTATATAGGCTCCCGACAAAAGGGCTCCAGTCAATAAGGCTCCTGACAAATAGGCTCCCGTCATTTTGGCTCCCGACATATAGTCTCCCGTCATTTAGTTTTTTCCACAAAACGGCCCCCGTCATTACGACTCCCGACAAATAGGCTCCCGCCATTTAGTTTCTCCATAAAACGGCCCCCGTCATTACGACTCCCGACAAATAGGCTAGCGTCATTTTGGCTCCCGACAAAAAGGCTCCTGTCAATTTGGCTCCAGACAAAAGGACCACTAACACAGTGGCGTAGCTACCTTCGGGGGGGGGGGGGGGTTCGTCAGTGGGATTCAGTGTTTGTGGGTCAAACAGAGCCCAATCGTTATAATAACACTACAGGCTATATCACTTTGTCGTGCAAGACATTGAGAGAATCAGCCTATAAATAAACTTTTTAGCATTAGTAGGCAAGCATAATAATATAGTATAAATACAAAATCAGGACATATAAAATACAAAATGTTGCCTTCATAATATTTATATATTAAAAAATATCCATCGTAAGTAGAAGTTGATCTCTTCGTTTAACTCCTCTGTAGCCTAACGCAGAGGCGTAGCGAAGGCGAGGCGGGGGGTGCGGACCGCAACGGGTGACACCATTTAGGGGGGGGGTGACACCAAAGGCAAAAAATTGTAAAATTTATAGAATGAAATGCCATTTTTCAGATCCATTAGTTAAAGTTAAATAGTCTTCTAAGTACAAATCGAAAATTATATCAAGAGGGGGGGGGGTGTGACACCACGACGTAAACTATAAAGAAAACAATGCTACATCCAACTGTATTATAAACAGACTGTAGATAAACATGGTTACTATTAAGTCAGCAGTGATTAAAGCTTAACACGTACGTGTACCAGTATGTGGCATATTTATAAATTTTAGGCCTATGTAGGCCGACACACACACACACACACACACACACACACACACACACACACACATATATATATATATATATATATATATATATATATATATATATATATATATATATATATATATATATATATATATATATATATATATATATATATATATGCTTTGTTTCCTGGGAGGGGGTGACAATACGAAGTGCCGCACCGGGTGAGACCCGACCTAGCGACGCCACTGGCCTAACGGCTGACGAAGGGGCCCACTGATAATTTTTGCATAGGGGCCCTAAAATCCTAGCTACGCCACTGCACTGACAATACCGTTTCTGTAAAGACTAAGTCTCCCGGCAAAGCGGTCTCATTGAATATGACATCTGCCAGTGGGACCCCTTCATCAATATTCTTTAGAGTTAGCTTATCCAACACTCTTATGTAATACAACTTATGCATCTCTTGTTCGGCAGGCCTTATTTTTATATTAGTTTATCTATTATAAAATATAGTATGTTTTAATTTAAGGGTCATCTATCTATGACATCCATAATTGAGTCGGTTATAGGCTGTTCCAACTCATTGTGTGGGGAGAAGGGTCCACGCTCTACCTTCCTAACTGCAATATTCTTGTACAGGGGCGTAGCGAAAGGGGGGGGGGGGGGCGGGGGGTGCGGACCGCACCGGGTGACACCATTTAGGGGGGTGACACAAAGGCAAAAAATAGCAAAATATATAGAGAAAAAGTTGAGGGGGTGGGGGTGCAAATCGAAAGTTTGGGGGGGGGTGCAAATCGAAAACTTGAAAGTTTGTCCCCGGGAAGGGTCGCAACGCCTCTGGGGGGGGGGGGGGTGACACCATTAAGTGCCGCACCGGGTGACACCCGACCTCGCTACGCCACTGTGCTTGTAGGTTATCAAAACAAGATGCTGTTATCATGTTAACATCATGTATATCATACATTTACACTTCTGTGCTCGCTTTTAAGCAACAGATCTTTTCTGTTGTAAATTAAACATTATCAAAACTTTAGAATTGGTGGAATTTAGCTGTTAAGGGCTCGATTTGTTTGGGAATTAATGTTAGTTCATGAAAAAATAATTTCATTCGGGCATTAAAAAGAAGTTATGGTGGTATTGGAGGTAGGACACAATGGTTACTTTTATGCCAATAGTGGTCATATCATTCATTTTTCTGGAGCCAATATGTCGGGTGTCATTTTGTCAAAAGCCAATATGTCGGGAGCCCAATAGCCGGGAGCCAATATGTCGGGAGCCCATTTGTCGGTAGCCAAAATGTCGTGAGCCCATTTGCCGGGAGCCCATTTGTCTTGAGCCCTTATGTCGGGAGCCAATATGTCGGGAGCCGCTTTGTCGGGAGCCAATATGTCCTGAGCCTATTTGTCAGGGGTTAATACGTCGGGAGTCCATTTGTCGGGAGCCTAAATATCGAGAGCCCATTTGTCGGGAGCCTATATGTCGCAAGTCAATATGACGGGAGCCCATTTGACGGGAGCCAATAAGTCGGGGCCCTTTTGACGGGGCTATTTTGACGGGGTCGGTTTGTCGGGAGTCGATTTGACGGGGTCGTATTAACGGGGCCGTTTTGACGGGGCCGAATTGTCCCGGGCCGTTTTGACAGGGCACCATATATATATATATATATATATATATATATATATATATATATATATATATATATATATATATATATATATATATATATATATATATATATAATATATATATATATATATATATATATATATATATATATAAAATTCTCTACGTCCCCAACCAGAGCTTCTTCCAGGCATCTCTTCGGGAGGGGGGGGGGCGGAGCCCCCCGAAGAAAGTCTACCACACCCCCCCCCCCCCAACGAATAGAGGGATTTTATTTAGTAAACATACACTTTTACTAGTGTCCACCCCCCCCCTCTCCCACGAAAAATGTTGACCGCCCCCCCCACCCCCGAAAATTTCAAGTGCCCCCCCCCCCGGAGAAAAAAGGCTGGAAGAAACACTGCCCCCAACAATGCGGGAGACCACCAAGCACGCACGCCGAATCTCTGTCGCTATCATCACCCCCCACCCCTACTAGTCAGGTGCGCTGTAGTTCACCACGAATGTTTACAATCTTAGAGCCGGGTCGAATTAGTGACAGCTATTAGAGGCAGATAATTTAGTTAAACGATTTGAAACTAATGGGGCTGTAACAAGTTCTGCTTGATCTTTTCATTGTCGTCTGTAAACTGTCGTCACCGACGGCTGCTTTCGCAGGAAGAGGGAGGGAGGGGGGAAGGTAGGGAGATTATAATCATCCTTCACGAGCTACTGCTAGTGTTTTAAAGTTTCAAATAGTTTAAAAACCGCGCGGCGTCAAAACGGCCAATGACAAAACGGCCCCGTCAATACGACCTCGACAAATCGGCCCCGACATAAGAGCCCCGTCAAATCGACCCCGTTAAAATGGAGTAGTATATTAGGTCGCTTTTGGTTAGTATTTTTGGCGGAGCAGGTGGTGGGAAGGCGCAAAGGTTATATAGTAAAATACTCGGAGCAGGATGCGCAGCCTGCCGCAGCCTGCCGCAAAGACATATAGTAAAATACTACGCCAGCTGCCGCAGGGTGGGTGAGCAGGATGCACCGCAGGCGCAAAGACATATAGTAAAATACTACGCCAAC